AAAATGGTAATTTTACTATCTCACCTTTGAATATACTAAATACAATATCTTGAAAAATGTAATAGAAAAATGACTATAGTTAATGATAACGATAAATTAGGAACTAAGGAGTTTTTCGGTTTGAATACAAGTTATGATTAGATTAGTTATGACGGAATAAGTTATGGTAAGATTATTTCTTATGGAATGTTTGGTTTGTTATATTCAAAATAATATGCATTTCATAAATTTTAAGAACATATTATCTATTTATAAAAATACCCTTCATGAATGTGAAAAATAATGGATAAAAGAAGTTTAAAGAGATATCTTTGTCATTTATCTATTTTATCATGAGATAAGTTATTCTGGGATTATTGTACCACCCAATGAGAGAGATAACTTATCACGATACTAATTTATTAATCCCGAATAAGTTATCATGAACTTACCGACCAAACAACAAATTAAATGGCACTATAATTTAATCGCAAGACTATTTGATGTTATCCTTCACACCAAACATCCCCTAAGTGTGAAATTATCTATTGATTTCATAATGTGGCCTGGACAAGTATTATTGAACATAATATAGTGAACAACTATTGTTGTATCTCGTAGTTATTACAACTATCGTTTGATTAAATAATTATGGAAGTATCTCTTAGTTTTTAGTTTAAACAAACAAGAAAGGAAGGCCTAACGAAGAAATTTTATTTCAACCAAGTTGGAAGCAAAACACAGTATTATCACTCAAAAACACACAAGTAGCTCTCATTTCACCTTTCCATGATGAATTCACAACAACCCAAAACTATTCTGAAGCAGACCTAATGGGCTTATTACCCACAACAAAACGCCTAGCATGATGCCCACTCTTCTTTTTACAGCCATCAAGAGAAACAGACAACTCATAAGGAGGTGCATCATTAGCCAACCATTGTTCCACATAGAATATGGTTTGACTACACTGCATGTGAGGACCAGTGAAAGTTGTCTCAACATAATCCAAGAACCATCCATGGTGGTCACCAGATCCATCAGAAGTAACATTAAGTCTGCAAATTGGTGTGCTAAGACATTTGCCTCTACCAGTGAAGATATCCACATTACCCCTTTCGTAGTAATCATAATTTGGACCCATTAAACCCCACTTTTCAAGATCTGGAATCCATACTGATTTTCCAGAAGCATCGCCTACTGTAACGCTGATTTTTGAGTCAGTTCCACCCTTTATGATTGAACCAGTTTGAACATACAGAGTATACACACACTCTTCCTGCAACCACCAAAACGTACATTGTTAATCAATGTTTTCTTGTCAAATCCAAATACTCAGGAATCAATTCACGGGTAATGAAATGAATAGTACAGATTCAGATCTCAAGGAGCAGGTAAATAGGGATCTAAAAATGCAAGAAAAAAAAAAGCAGATGAAGGAATGGAATTTGGATGATGAATCAATAGTATTAGAAAAGCAATGCAATCAATAGTGAAAAGCAAATAAGCGACAATTGGAGTGAAATCAAATCAAATAAAATGAAACTCGATCGATCTAAAAGTTGGATGAGCTGGAATAGAAAGATGATCAATAGTGAGCTTCGATGGAAAAGCATTAAATTAGTTAAATGAAATGAAGAGGGAGGGACTTACAGATGAACCAGCCGCAGCAATATGAGCTGAAAGGAAGAAAGTGAAAGCAACAGCAATGAGCAAGTGGAGACTCGTCATTTTCTCTTTGATTTTGCTTCCTCACAGTGGTGGTAGCACACTCCATTATAAGGGGCCGCGTCATTACAGCTTGCTCTACGAAAAAGTCAATAGTCCCTTTTAAATTGGAATTCGCTGGCAACATCTTGTTTTGTTATTAGAGAGTACACTTTTATTAGTTAATTATGTTCTCATCACTTGTTAAATATAATAGTAATAGTTACTATTGTTTTAGTAAATATTAAATATCGGTTTAGCTGTCCATAAACGTAAATTTTATTACCCTTTCTTTTCTTAAAATAAAAGGGTTGATTAAAAAAAATCTATTAATTTTGAGGTAAATATGAATTAATTCACTTATTCTGTCATAACATGGTCAGATTTATTTAGACCATACTTAAAAACTGTTTAATTGTTCACCTACTCCATCCGGACATAATTTATTTATTTAAAAAATAGAGAGGATAAGAAGATCCACACTGTTGTCATAAGCAGTATTCATGGTTTAGGTAAAAATCTATTCAAATAGAATTAAATGGATTAAATAAATTAATTGTATTTTGTTTTGATTTAGTTTGATTTTACATTTTTAAAATTTGATAATATTTGGTTTGATTTTGATGTTATTTGAAAAATTTGAAGAAATAATCAAGTTGAGTAGAATCGATAAACTATGTACATATTTTTTATTGTTACATATACCTAATATATTAATATTATATGAACTATTTAAATTTGATCATGAATTTTGGTATGAAAAAATCTAGTTTTTTGAAAAAAATATATTATATATTTGAAAACTATGTGAAATGAACTATAAGTTACAATAATTGATAATTTCTAATATTTAAAAGATGTATGCAAAATTTACGATAAAAAATATACTTGTTTAAATTTCGAAATTCGAAAAGTGACACATAAAATTCTCGGGTGAAGGGAGTACAAAAGTTAACCAAAAATTGTCTATTCCTCATTCTCGAATAAAATGTTAAAGCTAATGAAAATGATTTTTGCTTCCTGTTTTGAAGAAAATGTAAAGTTTTGTTAAAGGATATTTCTTTTTAAGAAGAAAAAAATAAAAAAATACAAGTTATCAAAGTCTTTGAACGTTTCAAAAAGTGGCATACCAAGCTGAAAAAATGAGGGAGTAACATTGCTTTACTTTTGGTAAAGTTTTAAGCTTCATTCAAGAATTTGTTTAGCCTACCATTTTCATCATATCCCAAAATATATATAGCCTCACTGGATGACGATTCAACGCGTTTTATTATATAAAAAAATAAAATTATTAATAGCTAGACACCATCTATTTCAAAACTTAAATCGAATTAAAATTATTAATTTAAATAGTAATGAACTTGAATCAAACTTAATCCGAATCCTATTATACTCGTTCTTGCTATTTAATTGCAATCTATATCACTTAAAATAAAATGTTCATATCACACCTAACAGCAATAGACATGGAACAAATTAACATACCAACACAACAAATATCTCGTGATTTCAATATAAATGAGGGGAAAAAGGCTTGATATCCCTCAACTTTGTGATTTAACTTTATCGTTATAAAAGTGACTCACATATACCTCTATACTTATAAAATTGGCTCACATATACTCTTCTTATTTAATGAAAGTGAAAACATTAATTTTACATAATTTTTTTTATTTTTTATTTTTTTAAAAATAATGTAAAGGGTATATATGATTCTTCTAGTAAAGTTTCAGATATATTTAATCTTTCTCAGACATGATTTTTCTTTTTTGACTTTTTTTTATTCAATGGCTAGTTTGAATTTTAAATATCTCTCTTATAGATCTATTTGCTTATTATTATTTGAGTTTTTTACTCTTATTTAATTATTTATTTTTCTTTCATTTTTAGGGTAAAAATATGAGAAATAAAAAGAAAAAATCTGAATGGAAAAAGAGAAAAATTGAATTTAATTATTTTGCGGCTATATGATTATATCAAGATTTTAAATTGTATATTCTAAGAAGGTTTACGTATAAATTTTTTAGGATAATTCATAATGGCATAGTACGAATCCTAGGCTCATATATCATCACACTAGTAATATTGTGCTAGCATGAAACTCTTCAATTGTTGAGTTTGAGTCCAAATAGTTTCCTAATATTAATGATAGGTTGCACCGATAATTTACTATTAATAATATTCCCTTTTAAGTTTTTTTAACCTAAAATGCACACCCATAGGCCATAACAAATCTTTGAAAAAAAGAAAGAAAAGTAAAACCATAGGAAACAAATCTCTGAAAAATCCTAACAAAGTATAACCCTAGAAAAAACTAAATACTTCTTTTAACATAAAAACGCATAAATTCCTAACAGATTTATGAAAAATACATCTAAATAAAATCATAAAAAACAATACCATCCAAACCTAAAATCAACAATAAATAAGAAAATTCTTTAATAACCACACTTTAATCAACAATACCACCTAAAATCTAGCATCAAATAATTTCTCAGAACTTTTCATACAAAAAATAAAGGGAAAAAAGTTTGAAATATATTCGAACTTTGACCGAAATTGTTATAACGATATCAAACTTTGGAAAGGACCTTTTACCCCATGCACTGTTTAATAGTGTATTTTAAAGGTATATATGTGCTCACGTGGACATCATAAATATTGTAGAATTATAAATAGTAACATGTCCACGTAGGCACATAAATGCCTTTAAAATACACTATTAAATAGTGTAGGGGTAAAAGTTCCTCCATAAAGTTTGGTATCGTAACAGCAATTTCGGCCAAAATTAAAGTATTTTTCAGACCATTTTCCCAAAAATAAAACTAAACAAGAAAACACCTACAAGAATGATCATAAGTAGAGAAGAAACATATATACGAACCTCTCTACTCAATTCTCTATTATGCAAAGATGAAGATCAAATTGAGTCTAGAATTTTAAGTGTTAGTGAGAAAGGCAAATATACCTCTAAACTTTCAAAACTGATATGCATATATTCTTCATTATACTTAAAGTTATATATATCCTTATCGTCAAATTTTAAGTAATATATACCCTTAAATTCAAAAGTATAATTTATTCGATTATATCTTATTTTTACCAAAAGAATTTTAAAAAACCATCCACCAAAATAAGCATATCTTGGATTAATTTTTGTTTACCCAATTATAACCCAAAATCACTATATTGAGTCTTTTTAAGTAAAATAAAATAATGTTTGATTTTTCTAATTCTTTTTTTTCTTTTCCCACTTTTTTCTATCTAAAAATAGAATACTATCCAAACCTAAACATACTGGTTTGGTACAACCACAAAATGTCAAGTCTATAAATACACGCCCTGTTCCGTAGTGCCTTCCATAATTGACATTTCTGTACAATGGATTCCCAATCTCAATCTCCCTCAGTTGAAACCCTAGATCACAACTCATCACTAAAGCATGCCCAACTTCACGCTTCTGACAATTCCGGTCCAAATCAAGCATCAGAGGAGCAAAACCTCGGTGAATTCACTCTGAAGCGCGAGATTCAGAGGCCCTTATTGTCGGAAAACGGGTTGACAAACACTCACAGCGGCACCGACAGGGACCAATCAGGCGGTGAGGAAGAAACCAGCAGTAGAAGGAGACGGAGGAGCCGTTGGGACCCACCTCCCACTGAATCAACCAATGATGGGAACGGGGGCGGTGATGGAAGTGGGACCGGAAGAAAGAGGAAGTCGAGGTGGGCTGACGATGAGCCCAAACCCGTTATTCAATTGCCGGATTTTATGAAAGATTTCACTGGAGGTATTGAGTTTGATCCTGAAATCCAAGCTCTTAATAGTAGATTACTTGAAATTAGTAGGAAATTGCAATCGGGTATGCCCTTAGATGATAGACCTGACGGTGCTAGGTCGCCTTCGCCTGAACCTATATATGATAATATGGGAATTCGTATAAACACCAGGGAGTATCGCGCACGAGAAAAGCTGAATAGGGAGAGACAAGAGATTATATCACAAATCATTAAGAAGAACCCTGCTTTTAAGCCTCCTGCTGATTATAGGCCTCCCAAGCTTCAAAAGAAGCTATACATTCCCATGAAGGAGTTCCCTGGTTATAATTTTATTGGGCTGATTATTGGTCCAAGAGGGAATACTCAGAAGAGGATGGAAAAGGAGACGGGAGCAAAGATTGTAATTCGAGGCAAAGGGTCAATCAAGGAGGGTAGGTTCCAGCAAAAGGGGAATTTAAAACCTGACCCTGCCGACAATGAAGATTTACATGTGTTAGTGGAAGCTGAGAACCAGGAGTCTGTTGAAGCTGCTGCGGCTATGGTGGAGAAGCTCTTGCAGCCTGTTGATGAAGTGCTCAATGAACATAAGAGGCAACAGCTTAAGGAACTTGCTGCTTTGAATGGAACAATTAGAGATGAGGAGTTTTGTAGGCTATGTGGTGAACCAGGGCATAGGCAGTATGCATGTCCTTCTCGCACCACCACCTTTAAGAGTGACGTTCTGTGTAAAATATGTGGTGATGGGGGACATCCTACTATCGACTGTCCAGTGAAAAATACTACCGGCAAGAAAATGGATGATGAGTACCAGAATTTTCTCGCAGAGTTGGGAGGTACCATTCCTGAATCACTAACAAAGCAAAACTCAGCAACGCTAGCTCTTGGCGCGGGAAACTCAGGAAGCAATCCTCCTTGGGCAAGCAATAATAGTGCTGGTGGTGCTGGTGCCAGTTCACATCCTGGCTTAGGGTCAAGTATGCTAAAGCCAAAGGAGTTTGACGAGACAAACTTGTACATCGGTTACTTGCCACCTACTCTTGAAGATGACGGTTTGATCAATTTATTCTCTCCATTTGGTACCATTGTGATGGCTAAAGTTATAAAAGATCGTCTAAGTGGTCTGAGTAAAGGTTATGGATTTGTTAAGTTTGCGGATGTTCAACAAGCTAATAGTGCTATAACTAGCATGAATGGCCACTGTCTTGACGGAAGAACCATTGCTGTGAGAGTTGCAGGTAAGCCGCCTCAGCCTGCTGTGCCTCCAGGACCTGCTCCGGCAATGCCTTCATATCCGGTTCCTAATCAGGGCATGGGCGCATATCCGTCCCAGCATTATGCAGCTGGTGGTCCCATTGGCAATGCCCCCCCTGGTAGCTATCCCCCACCTGGTGCTCCAGTTCCATGGGGGCCACCTGTGCCTCCTCCATATGCCCAGTACCCACCTCCTCCTCCTGGCGCAGCCATGTATCCTCATGTTGCAGGTCAATCCATCCCTCCATATGGAATGCAGTATCCTCCTTCAATTCCAACAGCCTCTTCTGGTGCCCCTTCTCAGACTGTTTCTTCTGGTGAAAACCAACAAACTTATACATCTCCAGTTGAGGCACAGCAAAGCTATCCTCCTGGACTGCAATCCCAGAGTGTCTATGGCAATTCTGACACAGCAATGCCACCTAATGCTCAACCTGCATACCCAACATCATCATACAGCTATCCATCTTATTATGGTGTCGTACCACCACCTCCTCCTCCATCTGCATCCCAGTCCAATGGGAATTATTCACAGGGTATGAGTAATGTTCCCTGGGCTCCAAATCCACCAACTCATGCACCTCCATCATCAGCGGAGAAGCCTGCATATGGTGCGGATGCAGAGTATGAGAAGTTCATGTCAGAAATGAAGTCATGATGCAATTGCTGTATCACCTGCACTATTAGGTTGGAAATTTCTTACCAAGTTTGTTTCCAAATTTGCTATTTGGTCTCCTCTGTGTGCTGTTTGGTGTTCACTTTTTTACACATGTATACATCTTCATCTTCACGCGAGTATGTATACATCTTAAATTTTGATTCTTTTTAAATCTTTTAACTTGAAGTCTATTCTTCTAGTGTCGGATTTTGACTTGAAATGGAATTTAAAATAGTAGAGGAGATTTTTGAATTTATGGTCTTAAACTAAGAAATGAATAATACACCAAAATGTCATTTCATATTGTAGTCTTGAACATGTGTGGAAAGTTAAATTTAAAATTTGACCAAAAAAAGAAGAAGAAACAATTCTTTTTGAAATGAACTAAAAAGGAAAGTAAGACGTAAATTAAAATGGGGCAGTGCAATTTCTTTTTTTTAAAAAACCTATAATAATTCTATTATTACTAAAAATTGTGCCCCTCTAATTTGGATGCCTTATTTTTGCCGGCCCTGTTCTCCACCAACCTGACTCTCTCTCTCTATATATATGTAATATGTGTGTATTGGTTTGTATGTTCATGAATTCTTGAAAGATATGGGATTCTTCCCGATTGCAAGTATCTATATTCAAACCTTGTGCCCATCCCACAAATACTTGGTTGCTTTTTAGTTCATCTTTTTTTCTTCCCCTTTCTGTTCACTATTTTTTTGGGAGCAGTGAGCATTTCATAATTATCTGTTACTTCATAATTTTCATTCTTAACGCTTCTCCTTTGTTAACGTTGTAATATTTGGCAGGCTGATGTGTTGGAGCATTTCACCTGATTTCTTCCCTCTTGCCATGACTTAGTTGTTGGAAGTTTCAGACTCACATCTTTAACCTTGTTGTACTGTTATGCAGAGAGATGAGACATTCAGTTCATTCAGCTTGTGTTGGAGCATTAAATCAGTGGATTATGGATATTAATTATGCTTTTTGTAGGATTCGTTTCTGGGGATTGGCTTCCAGCGTTGTTTTTCAAATTTTATTTTAATGATTTGTTGGATTTTCTTGATGACTAATCACTGACAGTTTGTGTTTCTCTCCACTTTGTCTTCTTTACCACTAATCTCCTTTGCTTTTCTCTTTTAACTTGGTTATCTCTTTTACTTTCTGGGGTCATTTAACTATTGAGAGTTCAGAAAGCAGCCTGATGCTTGCCTCTGCTATTCCTCCCGAAAGGTGAAGCATCTTCAAATTTTGAAGGTTCCCAGGGTATGTGAATTTGATAGTGTGATGACTGCATTCACATGTCTACTAATTAACTTGATTACTCGTTCTGATACATTTTCCAGATGTATTGTGACAGGAAAAGATGCTTGTGTTGGAATGTATTATCCTGTGCTGGACTGATTTGTGTCTTAAAATCACTTATCCTGTTGGGTATCTTAATTTGAATTTTATTTTGGATTCTGTGATGTTTATCAAGAAAGTTCTCTGTGCAATGGGAATTAACTGAAGCCCATCAGGGAGAAGTGAGAATGAGTAGCATTTAAATGTGATGGGCTAAACTAGGACATTTCTAACCTGGTTATGAACTTTTTATTTGAAGGGGGCGGGGTGTGTGGGAATCAAGTACATGACTATTTCAATACTCTTCCAATGAAGAGCACTGCTATAGCAGGAAGCTAGCAGTCACTTTGAATTTGACATTGTTATCTTAGATTTTGATTTGTGGCTCGGAAGTCTTAGAGAAACGGAAAGCACTAGCAGACAAAGTGGTTGAATCACATAGTAAATAGGAGATCTTGTGAGGATGAATATATTTGTACATCTCTTCTTTTATTCTTGTGAATACATAGTTGAGACATTTCAAGCTACATCTCCGCAGAAGTGTTTTTTCTACTTTTTGCTCTTCAGGGCTTTGCTCTCATCCAATCATTTTCTTGAGATGTAATTTGTTTCTGTTAATTTATTTAATTTTTTTGGGTAAAGAACTTGGGTGGGACGGGTGTTCACAAATTAACTGTGGATAGTTTTGGTTGGAACCCGAGACATGGCTTCTTGTGTGGGTTCTCATGTAGGAACTATGCTCATTAATGCCTTATATTTCTGTTTGTCATAGTGGGGTCTTCTCTTTACTGATCCACCAAATGTCTGGTATTCTTGAGACAACTAGTACACCTAAATGTCTTTGCTAAGATTGTAGGACCATTCAAGCTTCTGGTGTGGTCGATCATATTTTTGCATAGGGCTCTATTGGGGTTGAGATGTTGAGTAGTTGAACTTTAGCCTGTATGGTGAGTTTGGATAATGTGTGGAAGCTTAGTATTTCTGTTAAGCGTTGGTTTTGGCATCTGGTATTTTTGGATATAGGTTCACTATTGCTGTATTATTTTGTTTCTTTTTCCTTTTTAAACCTTCTGTTTTAGACTAACTTCTTTCAGTTGGTTGTTAGTAGCGTGTACTGATAGCAGGGATGGCTCCCCATTTCAGAAGATCTCTTGGATTTTGATTTGTGGCTCGGAAGTTTTAGAGAAACGGAATGCACTAGCAGGAAGAGTGGTGAATCACATAGTAAATAGGAGACCTTGTGAGGATGAATATATTTGTACCACTCTTCTTTTGTGCTTGTGAAAACGTAGTTGCAGACATTTCAAGCTACATCTCCCTAAGAAGTGTTTTTTCTACTTTTAGCTCTTCAGGGCTTTGCTCTCATTCAATCATTCTCTTGAGATGCAATTTGTTTATGTTAACTTATTTAGTAATTTTTGGGGAAATAAGTTGGATGGGATGTTGTCCCCAGGTGTTCACAAATTAACTGTGGATATTTTTGGTTGGAACTCGAGACATGGCTTCTTGTGGGTTCTCATCTTAGAAACTATGTTCATTAATGCCTTAATATTTCTGTTTGTGATCCACCAATGTCTGGAGTTCTTGAGACAAATATTTGTGTAATCTGAATTTCATGTCCATTGGAATCAATTGGTCTCAACATTCTAATTAGTTGAAAACTGCAATTCTGCTATACAGGAGAATGTTGATGCTCATTGGATTCAAAAGATTGCTTGCGGATAAAAATAGTTTAAATTTTACCTATCAAAAAGAATGGTTTACATTTATATTGTCTAGGTTTCTCTTACAATTTTTTTCAAAGACTTTTACTCGAAAGTCTCTCATGTATGCAGTATCGCTCAAAAGTTTTTATATTACCCTACAATTTGTCTGGTTCCCTTCAGAATTTTTAGCAACACATTTTGCTTAAGTTATCTCTTTGATGAAGTGGCTTGTTGTTTTTGTTATCTAATGCTGCCACCTATGCTAATAAGATATTATCAGCTCTTCCTTCCTTTCCTTGGTCCTGCTTTGCCCCTTCTACCTTGTGTTTTGAACTGTCTGATGTAAGTCTTGATTGGTCCTAGTGGTGGATGCACGGGTTACATTTTTGTATGGTACTTTTGACAACTTGATTCTCTTGGTTTGAGTGTCATTTTGTTCTTGCTCTAACTTCCTTTTAAGTTATTTGAATCATGAACTTTTTGTCATGGTGATTGGGAGTTTGTCATTTGAGTTTTGGGCTTTGTGTCTCATCTTGCTTGGGGTTGAGGTGTACTAGTTGTTGCTGCTTTGTGCAATAAATGTCTTGGCCAAGATTGTAGGACTATTCAAGCTTCTGATGTGGTGGATCATATTTTTGTATAGGGCTGTATTGGGGTTTGAGATGTTGAGTAGCTGAACTTTAGCCTGGGTATGGTGAGTTTGGATAATGCATGGAAGCTTAGTATTTCTGTTAAGCATTGGTATTTTTGGATATAGGTTTACTATTGCTGAATGGTTTTGTTTCTTTTTCCTTTTTAATTAATCCTTCCGTTCTAGACTAACTTCTTTAAGTTGGTTGTTAGTAGCGCGTACTGATAGCAGCAGGGATGGCTCCCCCATTTCAGAAGATCTCTTGTTAGTTCTATTTGTCTCCTGATGTAGGTAAGCTAGCTGCTGGCTGCTTATTGATGTTGGTGTCCAATAGAGTTCTTTGCTCTTCATGCCTGGAAAGATGTAATGCAGGCCAAATTCTTCTTAAGAAATTTCATGTATCGGGCTTGTTGTACTGTCAGAATGCACGACAGTTCCATCCCGCCTCTAAATTATAACTTACATAACACAATTGAACTAGGGAGAGGATTGGGGTAAAACTTACCGCACCGGGTGTTTACACCAAGTCAATACATGCATGCCATGTGTTTAAACTTATAGTTTATTTTACTTAACCATAATTAATTGACATGTGTTTTACTTCATTAAATCACGTAATAATGGAAATTGCATTGGCTTGGTGTAAACGCCCGGTGGGGATAAGTTTTTTCCGAGAGGGATGGTGTTGTCTAATAATGCTTACACAAGTAAAAAGTTGATGTCACAGTAACTAGTCGATTATAATTATGGGGTAATTGCACTAAAACACTCGTATAATGTGAGTTAGTTTGGTCAATACTTGCCCGTTTTACATCACGAAAATCTTATATTTACACCTGGTATATTTAAATTTAATGTAGTTCAAATTATTTTATGAATTTGAATTTAATTCTTCTCGTTTAGCATGAGTTGGTTTGGGGTTTTCAAATATCAAATTAAATCATTTGTGTTGAATTTTTAAGTCTATAAATCAAATCAAATTAGTAAAATTTGGATTTTTGAGGGTCTTTTTGATAAAGTATTTAGAAAAACATATAATTAACTTGTGTTTTAAATGTTTTTCTAGTCTTGTCGAAATATAACTATCTAAAGTGGTTCTTAAAAGAATAACATCAAATATGAGAAGTGATAAAACCAATATATTAAACAAAAAATAATAATTGAAATCTTGTAAATTAATAAGTTATAACGGAAATGATTATAATTTAAAAGTATTAAATTATGCTAAAATAAGTTTGATAAGTATTAATAAGTGTTAATTAATCACATGACTAAATATTAATGAATAAAATTAGATCATGTATTTTAATTGTCTGAGTCCATGTAAAACTAAAGAATATGTATTCAATGTTCAACTTGCTAATTCTTACATTATTAATCTTTGTATCAACGGCTTACTTAGTGATGAATTGTTTTTTTTTTGCTAGTATTAGTATTAAATTGATTTTGATTTGAGCTTTATTAGAATTACCCTTATTGAACAATTTTAAATTTCAAGTATCAAACTTGAAATAATAAGTTAAAAGATAAAAACTATGAAAAAATATAAGAAACAGTTAAAAATTATATCAAAGTAAATACTTTAATGTAAAAGATGAAAATTTTAAATTATATATATAATGTCAGATTGGCTTGGTTTGGGGTTGATTTTTTTTAGTTAAAATCAAATCAACCCTAATATAATCGGATTTTTTTTCAATTTGAAATCAAGTCAAACCAAATCACAAGTAATTTTTTTTTATTTGACTTGATTTTCAATTCTATATTGTACCCCTATGTTTACAGACATATAGAAGACTTAATTAGGCAACATAAAAATATTTTCTCCATTAATTTAATTTCAGATGAAGAAATCACATAATTCAGCATCCCAAAACAAAAAGAAAACAAAAAAATTGACTACATAGGATCCTAATTATACATCAAATACTATTGAAACACATTATCTTTAATGAACCTAATATGGGCTATGACAGAATTATAGATGATTGAGATTCTTCAATTAAAGATTTCATATTCGAGTTATAGAGAGTAAAATAACTTTATTGAGAGTCTGAATTTCATATTTAAACTGTTACTTATTAGTTTGAGAAACACACATTAATGGTGTGTGTAATACACTATCTCTTTTATTTGTAAAAATCTTGTCACATGGCATTTCACATGGATAAAATATTTCACCTTGACAAAAATTAAATAAACTACTAATATTAGTTAAAAGCTAAAGATTAATGTATTCTTACCCTAAAAAATAAAATTTAAAATATTTTTCTCACCCAATCCACCCCCGAAAAGCCCCCCATCCTTTTATTTGTTTAAATTTCTTTTATAAAATATTTTTAAAAATTTCAGACCTCACCCCTCCTCCCCTCCTTACTAAAAGAAATTTTGATATTATTTTTATTTTTGTAAAAAAATAAATTTCTATTCCACCCCATCTTACCCTCCGCTCCTAATTTTTTTCTTTCTTTTTTACATATTTCTCGTTTGTGTTAGATATGTACATATACTTTTAGAAAAATATTTTTTCTACTTGTGTACCGTATATAATAGAAATAAAAATTTATTTTTAAAAAAGTCTTTTGGCAAGTAATATATATATATATAACACAAAAAGAGAATTTTTTTTTGAAAGTAGAGCGTTATGTGTGGTGGGGTATAATTTATGAAGTAAGAACTTTTTTTACAAAACTTTTTTAAATTTCAACACAAAACGAGAATTTTTTTTTGAAAGTAGAGGGTTATGTGTGGTGGGGTATAATTTTTTTTTAAAATATTAAAATAATATCTAAATAATTATTTGAAGGAGTTGCGGAGGGAGGGGAGATGGAGTAAGAACTTTTTTTACTGAACTTTTATAAAAGATATTTTTTTAAAAAACTAAAAAGTTAAGTTGGGGGGGGGGGGGGTAAGGTGAGAGGAAGTGGTGGAGTGGGGAATAGTAATACTTTAATCTTTAACTAATACAAATACTAAAACTAATAATTTATTTAATTTTTATCAAGGTGGAATGTTTTATCCATGTGAAGTGTGATGTGTCAATTTTTTTAAATAAAAGAGAGCGTGTGTTCTTAAACTAATTAGTGATAGTGTAATAAAAGAGATATGTGTGTTCTTAAACTAATTAGTGATAGTTTATGTATGAAACTCACACTGTCAATAGTTTATGTATGAAACTAAGGGCCCGTTTGGCCATGCGATATGGCATCATGATA